TGTATTATTTATTATTTTATTGCTATTTTCTTATTTCTGTTATATTAGCTCTGGTTTTAATTAATACATTAGATTGCAACAACTACCTCTTGTTTTGTTTCTAGCTGAATTATCTTCTAGTAGACATATTTTTTCCAGATGTTGGCAGTGTACCATGATCAGATAACATTTAATACGTTTTTCTTCAGTGAACTAATTAAGCTATGCTTAAGCCTTTCATTAGAAAACGTTGTAACAGTGGAGGAGGATGAAAAAGGTGAAGGGCTTCTTGCATGATTCAGAAGAGCTTTGAATTAACACAAGGGGGAGGGAGGGGAGGGGGGAAGAGACTAATATAAAAGGAAGGGATTTTGTAATTTACTTTGACCATGAAAGTGCTCTTGCTGTAAGCTACTTGCAGGTTTTTGAGTTTGAATTAAGAAGCCATACCATGAGGGTATGAAAAATACTTGAGCACAGGAGTGGAGCTTACCTGGGAGGGAGTCTGCCAGTTTAGTCATGTTTTCCAGAACTTCAGTTGTTCTTTTAGCATTTTTCTGAAACCTTTCCAACTTTGCCGTTGGACGTATTAAGATTAATTCCACGTTTCTGAAACCTGCTATATATCCCTTATGTTTTCCATGTGTTCTGCGAAGTTGCCGTTGTACACAAGGATGTAATTTGTATATGGGAATTGTACATACTTTAACCATAACTTCTGCAATATTTATTTCTACTGCTCTTGGAATAGGGCAAATACATTGATTAAGACTATACAGTTTTAAGCCACTTTAAACCACTAAGACATACCATATATAGTAAGTAGTTGTGTTGATCCATTGAACCTTGATTTAATATAAAGTGTCTAACTCATGCAGAGTATTTTAAATCCAAGAAATAAATTATCTTTCTCATGTGGGTTTTCTCGTAAATTTCCTCAAATCTATGCATATGCATAGTTCTGGGTAGCACTCCCTCTTTGGACCGCTTATTTATGATGTGCGAGAGACTGTTTTCAATTTTGTACTCCACTTCTACTGAGGAGATATTTTAAATGTACTTTTACCGCTTTATCTGAGAACAGAAATAGAATGTTTCAGGCAGATTTCTTGTTATAGTATTTGAGAGGCATCTGTAGATGATAAATAAACCCAGTGCATTTCTGATTTCATTTCCTGCAAATGCTTGGGCTCCTGTTTCAGCAACCTGCCTCTGTACATCTAAGTGACTTTGCTTTATTTGGTTTACCCAAAGTATTTTTCATTTGGCTCTTGCAGCCCTTTTCCTTGTGTGCCTAACTTGCAGTAATAGCTCCGTTTGTATCAGCAGAGTTTGTCACCAGATCAAGTATCACTTTCATGAATGAAGGACTATAAAATAGACAGTGTAGCTGGTGACTGAATTTTTGTAGACCTATGTGTTAGGAAAATGAGGAGATAACCATGTGTAGCTAATCAAAATCCATCTTTAGTCTTCATAGAGAATTTAAAAGATGGAATTGGAGGCTTCCAGCTCAATGTTTGCTTAGGTTTTAAATGACAAATACCATATACCATTCTTAAGATAGAGCACTGTTTACATCTCTTATCCTTTGCTCTTTCTCACATACAATAATGAGTTCTTCTCAACTTGAATAAGGGATTTACAAAAAAGGTATTACTGGTGGGAGGTCTTCCTAACTAGTCAGTGGTAGTGATTACTTCTTTATCTGTATGTTGTTGAAGAGGGGAGAACTCATTGAGGAAAGAATGAAAGTTTGTTGCCTTATAGATTTTTTGATCAGCTGTTTCTTCCATATCAGTGAGCTGGAGTGAACAAGTGAGAGGAAGCCTGGCTCCATTTTTCTAAAATAGTTAGCCCAAGTATCTGGAAAGGTGGAATCTCTGGTCTTAAGGACACTGTTGTGTCTTCTTGTGTTAATCTCTTGATTGAAAACAAAAATCTGAGGTCAGGAAACATAATATAGGATTCTTCTCTTCCAGCTATCTGTCCTAACCTTTTGGGCTGTAAGTTTATGGTGTGTTTTGTATTCTTGGATGTGACGAAGGAGATTTCGTTATCTTGCTTTCTGGGTAATTTTTCTAATAATTTACTATGAAGATGAGCACAGGTACTGCTGCTTGTGAGTATTTTTTAAAAGGAGAATTGTCTGCTTTCCACCCCCCTCAATGACTTCAGTGTGTCTTTTTTTTTTTAGCACAGGATCCTGTATTTCAGTTAAGATATGTGTATCAGTTCTGATTGAGCTACTTAGGCTATAGAGTAATGGAAGTTGAGCCACAGATGTTGCCAGGCATTTTATATTGTGTGTTCATTGTTAGGCTCAGCTTGATATGCAGGCTTTGGAGTGCCATTCTGAGTTGCTTGATGGGCTGGTTTTACAGTTAGCTCTTGCTGATACAAAGCTGCTTTTTTGCCAGGAAAAATGCTTCTCTGTTCCAGGTGACTGTTACTATTTCAGTTGAAAAATATCTTTCTTTGGTAGGAGGCATAGATTTTTAACTGCACAAGGGAGTTGGTACACAGTGTACATGATTTCCATTGCTAGTGCTTATCAAATAGGTTAGGGGGTGTGCATCTAGAGGAGGAGTGAGGCAGGAGTACCTCTTTTGGAATATCAGCAGTCCTAGATTGAGTTAGATCAGTCATGATGCCTCATGTTGACTCTTCCCAATCCACTGCATAGGATAATCCATGCATAAATGTGGTGTTGAATTCCTAGGAGGGATTTTTTTTTTTTTTCTCCTCTGGTAGCACTTGATTGTCTGAGTATGGGGGTCAGGAGTCTGAGTCGAATTTTCAAAGCAGACTCATTCAAAAACATGTCTTAGTGATTTTTTTAATTTAATTTTTTTGTGTGTGTGTGAAATGATAGAAAAATATAGCCTTGTTCTTGCAGTTCATCTTTTCCAGTGGAAGGCTGATATTCTGGAAGATGAGTTTAGTTTAAAATGTAGCACAGACTCTTTCCTTGTTAATTCCGTGCTATTATTGTCATAATTGGTATGTTTGTTGTAGCTGAAATCATTTCTTTGTAAAATCTGAAAGCCTGTTAGTTGGAAAAGCCATTGAAGAAACAAATATAGAATATCTGCTTTAGCTATGAGAGCAGGAGGGAAGTAAAATGCATGTGTAGAATAAAGCAGTAGCAATACAGTTTTTGCTTAAATCTAAAATAACATATTTAAAATTTTTCTATTCTAGAAATAGGGTTTATGTTAAGTCAGGAGAAAGAATTAATTAATATGTTAGTGTTCACAAACAGTACAGGGTCAAATTTATCATGTTTTGGTGACTGGGACTATAATAATTTCTATAATAAACATCAACATGCATCTTAGTATTAGTTCTTACTGCTTTGTCCCTGAGTGACAGGCTTTTCTTGTCTGTCCCTGCCATTTTGCCCAGAAGGTTGCACCTACTTAGGACTAACTGACAAGCTGTGGCATATCTGTTTTCATGAGGCCCTTTCCAGGGAGGCACATAGTGTTCTCAGTACGCTTGATCTGCTGTCCTCTACAAATCACATGCCCTGGAAACACTGGATGTGAGAAGGCTGAACTGAGCATATAAAAGATCCAGCATGAAGACTACTTGCAAAGAATTTAAATGAAACTGAGGGGGGAAAAGTGTTTCTGTGAGTTAAATTTAAACAGCTGTGAAAGGAAAATACTATTTAGCTGTGTCTTCTTTCATTCTGCAACGAAGGTGATGCAGAAGATCCACCCACGGTGGGTTTACAATAACGGTAATTTTGGATGATACATATGCTATGTATCAGGCAAGATTACAGATAGTCTGACATATGCCTGAAGCCCAACAGACTTTGAAACATAGAAAACTGTTAACTGCTAGGAGGATCCCAAATTAAAGGGATATTATATTCCAGTACAATACCCTGGATGCTAAGGTAGTCTGCAGCAGATTTTAAGGCTATTTGTAGGTTGCTTGAAAAAAAGATATTCTTACTTCCCTTCTCATGTATCTTGCTCTGCCACTCTATCTCTAACCCTGAATTTCAAGGTTGACGTGAACACTTAATCTCTTAAACTGTATTATGTCATTTATCAGTATTCTCTTATTGGTCTATATACCTCACTAATATGGCAAAACAGCTAACAGGATGCAGTGCACCTGCTCACTCTAGGTCCTTAATTGGCTGAAGTGAGGAAGCTGCCAAAAAGTCTGAAAATAATTTGATGAAATTCTTATGTGGTTTTTCTTCCTCACAGTCTCTTGAAATAAGGTACTTAAGCCATAGGAAACTATGAATTGAGTTAGTGCAGTGAGAAAGAAGAGATTCTGTTTTAGGATTTCATAACTGAATGGATTATGGAGTGGGGGCTGGGGCAAGGAGCTTAATTTTTGTTCTTTCTTTGTATATGTGCCAGTGCTTTTGTAAGTGATCAAGTTCCTTTGGTTCCCATTACATAGTTAGCCATGTGTGTCTGCTGTAGAGAGGGGAAAAAAATTGAGGAGAAAAACACATTAATGAAACTGTCAACTTTGAATTCCTGGAACTCATTTTAGTCTTTAAAAAGACTATCAGGTTAACACTGTTTCTAATCTATGGGCAAAATGCAATTTTAGAAGAAAAGAATTGTGTAAATTATGTGAAGGACAGAAGGTAACAAATCAGTCTAGAATTTGGACAACGGTCAAATCCTGAATTTCTTGATGGTCTTTACTCCCCTTTGCACAGTTCCCAGCTGTTTGGTTATACCTAGATTCTCTTTACTTTTGTGATCTCCTTTGTTTCATTAAATCTGTATAGTGATTACCTATGGTACATTGTTAATATGCAAGATAGTCTGTTATGAGTTATGCTGGTGAGACAAGTCTCTGAAAGCAAACTTCTCTTTGCCTTACCTTCTAGCTTCCATTGAAGTCTCCTGTCTCATGTGCAAATTTACTTCCATTAATTTCAAAATATTATAAGAAATAGTTTATTATTTCAATGAAAATTATTTTATATCAGTATTTTTAGTGGACAATAAATCAATTACTTCTCTTACTTTCAGATGGGCACCTTTAAGGCACACGATGGTGAATATTTTTTAGAACCTCTGATGAAAGCGGATGGAGGTGAACATGAAGATGAGCATAACAAACCACATCTTATATACAGGCATGAAGAACTTAAAAAAAAGTATCAGAAATCCCATAAACCTTGTGAAGTTTCAGGTATAGTCATACTTTAAATTTCAATTTGACTTTTTCAAATGTCAGATGCTTAAAAAAAGGCACGATTTAATTTTCGTAAATAATATTTATCTCCAGATTGTTCCATTAGAACCTGCACACTATTTTCTTGTAGGCTTGGCAGCCGTTTCTTTTTTTTTCTGCCAGTGGATGATTCAAATGTAGGACAAAATGTGCATATAAAAAATTTAAAATTCATCATATTGTAGGAACTTCTCTGTGGGTTTACTTTTATACCTACGTTGTCCCATATGTGAACATTTGAAGAGTAGTTCCACAGGAGATTTTGTTGCTTATATTCAGAAAAGATAATGAACTTCTTGCAAGTCTAACAGATAATACAAGACATCTGTCTTCCGTAATGGAAGTATCTAATATTACCCATTAATGTAGATTTTTGTCCTTATGAGTACTCTAATTTATTCATACTATGTATTCGTAATATTTAGTTTTATTTAAAATAAAGTGAAGTAATTTACTTTTGATATGTACTTGCTTATGAAGTAAACTCCATATTTATATAAATGTGTTATATAGATGAAAAAGTCGATAGAGACTTGAATTCAGGACTTGAGCCTAGTCTTTATGGTTTATTTTTCTTGGTTCTTTAGTATCAAAGGTTTGCATGTAAAAATACGTATTCTGTTTAACTTGCGTCCTTTTTTTCACTGCTTAAGCTCTAGCACTTATCTCCTTCCAGCCTGCCTGTTTGGATTATACTGCATTCTAGGAACTGTGTAATACTGCAATACTGCTATTTCTTAACTAATTTTTATCAATGAATCCACGTATGATAGAACTATATGATAGTATACAAGATGTCTAATCTGATGTTCCTATTACAGCTTTTCCTGTTTAAATTTTTTTTAAATACTCATTCTCTTGGAAATAAGATCATAAATGTAAGTTTGCTTTGGCTATTTTGGGCAGCCTTTTGCCCTTTTTTCTTTAAATATAGAAACTGCATTCAACAGTATATCTTTTTTTATGTTACAGAAAAAGAATTGAAGACGAGCACTTCACTACATCCAACCTTCAGCAGTTTAAATGAGGACAACAATGTTTTACAGAAGTCTGTCAGTTTACAGTATGCTTTAAATAACCTATCTATAGAGGATGGTGGCAATCCACATTCCAGGAAAAAACGTTTTCTTTCCTATCCAAGATATGTAGAAGTGATGGTTACAGCTGACACCAAAATGGTTCGTCACCATGGGCAGAATTTACAGCACTACATACTAACACTCATGTCAATAGTAAGTAAACTTAAGTTCATAAGTATTAGCAATTTCAGTTATTTCTGTTCTGTTTTCTCTTCTGTGATTTCCCTGTCTTCTGGCTTGACTGAATTCTATATTAAAAGAAAGAGATTCCATAAACACAAAAAAAGTAGAGCCAAAACTTCAGATTATGGACCGTTTCTGTTTAATGCATTCAAGGTGTGTAGGTGGAATGCTGTGACCTATTTCCTGATTTGCAGTTGCATTAGCAGAATTCTTAAGCTTCAGGGAGTTAAACATGGATTAATTACAGCAGACAGAGGTTAAAAGGCATTGTGAAAAAATGGTTGGTTATAGTAACCCTAGTTTTTCAAGTAATTTCAAATTAATATGCGTCAGACTTTGAGTTGGTGTAGTTTAGTTGAGCTCTTTATGTGGTGAATTCTTTCTTGAACCAAGTGACTTCTTGTATTGATTCAGGATCTAGTACAATAAGCTCTGTAAAATCAAAATGTTTACCATGACATCTGTTGAACCATTTTTTAGGAAAAGGCATGCTAAAATATTCTGGACAGTAATTATTTCTAGATTTCTGTCCTTCCATCTATTCAGAAGCTTAATTTATATGAAACTGCATCTAACTTTGGGCTTGCAAATTAAGACACCTACATATAGGTATCTATGGAGATACCTGCTTTAAATAATAGAGAGCTATTCGCTTGACCATAGACATCTTACTTTTGGATGAACAGAATAACTCTCTAGTGTCCACCGGGATCCGTTAATTTGCTTTGTAGAAGCATCCAGACATCTGACTTGGCCTCAGCCGCTGCTTCACAAAGGTGTGCAAGTCTCCTGTAGATTCTGTGTTGTATCTGCTAGTTCTGTATAGGTGTCTGATAACCTACAGCATCTGAAGTGACACTAGATAATGTGTGATTAGGCAACTGAACTGACTTCTGCTCACTCTGTCTGCATCTCCAGCTGATGGTAGTATAGGTGCTGTCACCTGCTACACAGATGTAGGTACCTAAATTTAGAAGATGGATTTTCTGTAGTTGGTTTATAAGAAAAATAATGAAATTTTAAGGCTGATTAGCATACTTAAATTTGATAAAGTCTTCTGGATTTTTCTACTGGCAGTGGTGTGAAGGTCTGAAAGTTCATGTATTAAAAAAAAAAATCAGTATTGATAATACAGACTCAATTTGGAATTCTTTTAAAACAACTGATCCCAAAGATGCCATTATTTATAAAGTTACTTTTTTAATACAGAGCTATACTAAGAACTGGAATGAAGTGGTCAAAACATTATTTTAAAATGGAAGCTGTTGTTTACAAAACTTTACAATAAGATGAAATGGAACACTTATGTAAATTTTCATGAGGCACTGTTGTGATTATAGCTAATGTTATTCCTGATATTCTCTTTTAAGAACAAACATTGTTCCTGCATCTGTAGATGTTGTACATTCAACCACTATTCCTTAGTGCAATGTTTCTTGTGTCTTTTTGCTTACATAATTGGTCTTCTACTAGGTAAATAGGGTATGCGTTGTATGATTGCTGCTAAAGAGAGTTTATATGAACTGTTTTTAAGACCTAATATTTAACATATATGTGTATGAGTGAAAGAGTACCAATTCTTTGCTAAAATCTTTGGATTTCATTCTTGTGCTTACCTATCTCTATTCTAAAACTAGGGCTTAGGGCAGTTATTGCTGGCTTTGAGGTAAAGGCATACAATAAAACACTAAATCTTTAATGTGAATTTAATATGTTTGAATACCACAGTAGATAGCAAGATGTACAGCTGGCATCTTCTGGCAGCTTTTATTCCACATGTACATCTGCTACTTCTGAAGGTAATCTTGAAACAAAGGTTTGTTAAGACATTATTTCTAGAAATGTTTAGCTCTTATAAATGCAGATTTTTTAAAATATAAAATCAGATCTTATTTCTGTGAGGTTTTCTTCATAGTCCAGTTAATTTTCTCCCCACGCTCCCAAGAATACATATTCCAGTTCATATCCTTTCTTGAAGCATTTAGCAATGTCATAGGATCACAGAAAAATTTAGCTTATAAGGGACCTTTGGAAGTAATCTGGTCCAACCTTCTGCTCGCATATATATTGCTTTGTTAAATAAATCAAATAATGCATATGAAGATACAGTCTTCAGTCTCTTCCTTTCTGTTCCTTCTTCCCCACAATTGCTATTCTTCAATAAGCTAGTAATGAATGTGAAGAATAGGAAGGTGAATGACTACCACTCTTTGCTGTGTAATCTGTATTAGAATTCATCAGTATGTAGGTGGGCCATTTCTTGACCCATGGCCTGTTTGTGTTTGAAATAGAACTATTTTTAGTTTTATTTGATTACCCATAAAGCGAAGAAATTAAACTATTAAATTTTATCCTTTTTGCCATTATACAGATAGGTTTGATTGTTAAATGTAGTTGGTGCTTGTGTCTGGTCAAGCAACTTCTGTTATGGGAAATTGTCAGGTTGCTGGTGTTTTAAGTGAATCAAGCATTATGCTCTACTCTTATAATCATTCTGAAACTTTTAAGGATATTCTGTTTTGGCTTGGATTTTAAAGAATCCTAAAATTTTAATCATATAAATCCCATTAACTTCTAATGAAACTTAGACATCTAGCTCCCAGAAGAACCTTTGAAACCCTGGCCTGTTTTTCTTCCTTCTTACTTTGGTGGCTTTGATGCTAAAAAAAAAAAAAAAACAAACCCAACCTTGCTGGTATAGGATACCATTTTATGAGTGGAAAATAAGAACTGAAATATACTGCTAAATATACTGCACAAGGATTTTTAAGTGTCTTGTCGCTCATCCAATTCAACCTGAAAAGGCTTAACTCTCAGCATGCGAGTAATCCCATTGAACTGGAACTGGAATGCATTTTCTCATTTCTTTAAAATTGCATAAATCTTGGCAAGATGAGTATTCACAGTATTTATGCTGTGTCTTGGAAACACTTACTGGTTCTGATTGAAATATGTATTTAAAAGTACAAGGAATACCTTTGCTATAGGACTTTATAAAAAAGTTTTGTATTGAAATACAATAAAGAGTGGCATTATTTAATGTGAAATGATAAATAAAATAACAAAGAAATCTGTGATTGCTTAACTCACAATGTTCTTTGTTGTTTGTCCAAATGTTGCATCAGCAGAGCATGCAGTAGGTGCTACCTTAATAGATTCAGTAGCTGGAGGACTCTTACTTAGACACATTATGTCGTGACAGTTTGAATTCTCTAACATGAAGGCTTGGTTTTAGCAACTGGAACAATTCATTAAGACCCTGGAGTTTACTGTAAAAGAACCAAAACCTCATCAAATCTGCTTCCATGATACGTTTTGAGGTACTGTCCTCATTTTCTGAATCAGGTACCTGATTATTACATTTCTTTTTAAGGAATGTACTGCTTGTATAGTTAGTTTGATATTAAAAAGCTTCTTGGTCTGTTCTTAGTCTGCTTGCAGCAAGAACTTTGTAATCTTGCCTTTCTGAAAAGAAAACTTGACATGTAAAACCACCTGTGGTAGAGCCATGTTGGCCATCTCAGATCATGAACTTGGCTGACTGCCTAGTGATATGAGTGCTAGAGTTGGAGCATGGGAGAGGGGCAGCCATGCTTTCAAGGAGAACGTCAATTTAGATGATTTAACTTGCAGTGAGACTGGAATCATAAAATGGCATTATATAACAGTAAAATAGTATCATTAAGTCATGGTATTAAAAGCTGATATTTTTAATTTTCATCAAGACAGGTTCCTAACTTGGACTGCCCATAAATGACTTTGACTCTCCATTGTTTTGTTCTTTGTGTAGGCTTTCAGATCTGTGCAAATCAAGCTGCTGTCAAAGTACCTTGAAATAGTCACTGTTGTTTTAGTAGTATTTTGTGGTTACAATAATTTGCCAAGATGTAAAATGTAAGGCAGTGAGTAGCAGGTCTTGAGAGGAAAAAATTTTTCTAGTTATAGTCTTGTTTATACTTTCCTAATTGCCATTCTGACAGATAATCATCAGCATTGATCATGAAATATTTTCTATGTGGGAAGATCCTGTGCATCAGTGTGCTGCCCCCTCATTAAAAAACAGCCAAATTATCTTTGTCCTAATATATATGAGATGAATTTAAAGAATGTTTTTATACTTTCTTTGCGGTTCAATCCATACAACAGGTAACAGTTCATCTTTTCATAACATTCTGGAAAAACATAGATGCATACTAGCATCTAAGAATATTTGATGCTACTGATTCTGCCATATACTCATCTTTTTTTAAAAAAAAGTAGTAGACTTGAATAATTTGTAGGTTAATAATTTCATTTGTATGACTGGCATCTGAAAGGCAATAAATACTTTTAAGTTCAGAGTTTAGTGATGAGTATATTGCTCCTTGCATCTACTACTTAGACTACTAAGCTTGTATTTTACCCCTTTTTCACTCAGAGCAGTGTATTACTACTAATGCTGCAGGAATGTTCAGTGCTTTTTCTCTCTCCATAAAATCTAGAGAGCCAGCACAAAGACACTTGTTTCTTGCTTAAGCTCTCTACCTTATCATGTTTCTTCTTCTGTATATATATAAAACCACATGATCTTGTGCACTTTGACATGCTTAAAATGAAAATGGGCATTTGATTATACACCAATGAATATACATAGTGGAAACAATTATTTCCAAAGCATCATTCAGACAAAATTCTCTGAGCTAGTCTTGTTGCTTATCTTGATGTATGGATATCTAGCAGCTGATACAGAAGTATTAGAGCCAGCAGTGTGCCCAGGTGGCCAAGAAGGCCAATAGCATTCTGGACTGTATCAGAAATAGTGTGGCCAGTAGGAGTAGGGAGGTGATTGTGCCCCTCTACTTGGCACTGGTGAGGCCACACCTTGAATGCTGTTTTGGGTCCTTCACTACAAGAAACACATTGAGGTGCTGGAGAACAGGTCTTATGAGGAGCGGCTGAGGGAACTGAGGTTGTTTAGTCTGGAGAAAAGG